TGATTTAACATAATATCCTCAATGTTCATTCAAGTTGTAACATTTGTCAAAGTTTCATTTTTATAAAGATTTATTTTTTTTTTTATCCTATGTGTATGATTTGCCTGCGTGTATATGTGTACCGCATATGTGTGGTTCCCAGTAGAGGCCAGAAGAGGGTGCCAGATCACCTGGAACTGGACAGAGCAGCAAGGGCTCTTAACTACTGAGTCTCCAATTTTAATTTCTTTTTAAGACTAAATAATTTTTTTTTTGTACACACACACACACACCCACACCCACACCTCTACCCCTTTAGCCTACTTATTCATGTGTCAATGACATTTAGGTTGTTCCTACCATGTAGCTGTTAGGAATAGTGAATGCTACTGTGAGTGAAGGTGTATAGAGACCTATTTGGGATCCCCTTTTTTTTTTTTTCCTGAGTTGTAGCCTAAGCTGGCCTCAAACTCATCATCCTTCTGCCTTAGCCCCCCTTGTGGTGGGAGCACAGGTCTATATCACTCACTGTACACACTGCTTCATTATGGTTTGGGCTTGCACTTCCCTTAGTGATGTTAAGCTTCTTATTCATAGAATTTAAAAAATGGTTTATTTTAGTTGTGTTTATGTGTTTATTCATGGGCTAGTCAGAGGACAACTTTTGGTTAGTACTCTCTTTCCATCCTGGGTTCCAGAAATGGAAGATGGGTCATCAGGGTTATGGCAAGTGCCTTTATTTGTCAAGCCCTTTTGCTGGCCCACTCAATGACAGTGGAACATCAGATTGTGTTTGTCTTTGTATGCTGACACCATGTCTTGTTCTCTGTCTTCAGTTTAGTATTAGGTAGATATTTAGTATCATAGATATTTAAATATTAATATATATTGCTTAATTGACGCCTCACTCTACCCACTTGTTTTCTTATTTTTAGTCTATTTGGAGTTGTGATTAATTTTTGAGATGGAAGTTTATTCTTTCTATTCTGTGCATATTTGTTCCTACTTGTCCTCACACACCTCCCCCTTCTCTGTCCCTGCTTTCACCATTAGCCCCTCTTCTGCTTTTATGTCACATGCATTTATTACCCTCTCTTTTCCTCCCTACCCCTTAAAGATTTCATCTTCCCTTCCATGGTCTCCTTTATAGTTCCATGACTCCTCCCATATGTGCACACATAAAAATTAGAACCTTGGATCTTCATACGAGAGAAAACAGTATTTGTCTTTCTGACTCTGGTTTATTTTATATAACATTCTAATTTCCAGTTCATTTTTCTCTGTAAATGCCACTTTTTACAGCTGAATAAAATTCCATTATGTGTGTCTGTATCACATTTCATTATTGATTCATCTAGACTTTGTTCCATTTCTTGCTCCTGTGAATAATCTAGTTAATAAACATGGATATGCAGATATCTCTGGTAGGATTTAGAGTTCCTTGGGTATATATCCAGAGTGATATAGCTACGTCATATAGTTCCATTTTTTTGTTGGGTGGTGGTTGTTTTTTTGAAAACCTTCGTACTGTTTTCTGTAATTGCTGCGCCAGTTTGTATACAATAGTATACAGTAGTGAATAACCATTTCTCTTTTCACCTTATCAGCATTATTTGTTGTTTCTTTACTTAATGACCATTCTGAGTGAGGTGAGCTAGAATCAAAAGTAGTCTTTTTTTGTTGTTTGTTTGTTTGGAGACAGGGTTTCTCTGTAGTCTGGAACTCTGTTAGACCATAGTGGCCATGAACTCAGATCAGCCTGCCTGCATCACCACTGCCTGGTCCTCAAAAGTAGTTTTAATTTGCATTTCCCTGATGACTCACAGTATATTGGCCATTTTTGTTTCTTTTTGAGAACTGTCTTCAGTTCATTTGTCCTCACAACCTCCCACCCCCACCCCACCCCCTTTTTTTTTTTTGAGACAGGGCCTCTCATTAACCAATTTATTGATTGGAAAATTCTTTTTGTTGTTGTTTTGCTTTGTTTTTCAAGATAGGGTTTTTCTGTGAAGCCTTGCCTATCCTGGAACTCATTCTATAGACCAAGTGCTGGGATTAAAGATGTGCCACCACTGCCTGGTGATTGGAAGTTTTTTAAAAATTATTTTTATTTGTATTTATGAGTGCCTGCATGTATGTATATTATACCACGTGTATGCTTAATGCTGGTAGAGGCCAGAAGGCATCAGACCCTCTAGAACTAGAATTATGAATGGTTGCGAGGCACTATTTGGGCACGGGTAACTGAACCCATGACTGCTATAAGAACAGCACATGCTGAGCCATCTCTTTAACCCAGGGTGTGTGTGTGTGTGTGTGTGTGTGTGTGTGTGTGTGTGTGTGTGTGTAAAGAACTTTTGAAGTTCTTTATACAGTCTAGATATTATCATCTGAAGTATAATTGGCAAAAATCTCTTCTATTCTGTAAGGCTGTCTTCACTTTGAATGTTTCTTTTGCTGTACTGCTTTTTAATTTCCATATAATCCTGTTTGTGCTACTTCTTGTGCTATTGGAATCCTTGTAAAGTTCTAACTTAATATTTTGAAGTGTTGCCCCTAACATACGGCTCAAGAATTCCTCTTAGAGCACTGGCAGACCCCAGTTTAAAGATGAATCTGCTGGGCATGGTGGATGCTGAGCTATATCATCAACTCTGGAATTTTTTTTTCCTTAAATGTTTTCAGTCCTCAGTTGAATCACTAGAATGTGCAGATACAGAGGGCTGATATATTAAAGAACGTTTGCATAAATACAATTAGACCATCTGGCTTAGAGAACCAATGGAAGAGCCTGGCATGGCGGCACATGCCTTTAATCCCAACCTGGTCTACATAGCAGTATCCAGGCCAGCCAGGCCTACATAGTGTGACCCTGTTTCCAGCGGGGGAAAAACAACAACAACACATAGTTGGCATGATAAATGAACAGGAAAGGGTGCTTGCTGCCAAGTCTAGCAACCTGAGTTTGATCAGAACCCACATGGTGGAAGGAGAAAACTGACTGTCACATTGTCCTTTTTATGAGTGTATTGGCACATTAAATGTAATAAAAATATATACTCCCGAGTTATAGTGTGGTAGTGCTAGAGTATGGATATAAGAGTATACTGGGCATTTCTAATATGATATAGACTGCTAGAGGAAGGAGGAGTCCAGAAAAACAGCTTTGTCAAACCTCTCAGCCCAGAATATACTAAATGGGTAGGTCTAGAGTATATTTTTCAAGTAACAGGAAGTATAGGAGAATAGATTAACAATGAGGTGGTGCCCAAGGGCAGTGCTAAAATATTCTGGGTGTATGATGAATGAAGAGACGAGTGAAATTCAGGTATAACAAAAATAAAATTAACATTGTGTGCCTTTGTGGAAGTAGCAAAGGAAAGATGGAAACAAATGGTGACTAAGCTTCTGCATTGAGTATCATAGTTAGGCTAGGTATGTCAGCCAGTGCTGGCCAGAAGAAAGGAGTCAATACATGAATGGATGATTGTGATGGATTGTAAGGTTGGTAAATCCAAATCTGTAAATATGGCTGACAGTCCATATACACATGAGTTGGAAGTTGCTGCCTTAAAGCACACTCCGCAGGTTGGAGGTGTAGAGGAAATTTTGGGACTTTTTCTGTGAGACCCAAGTCTTGGCATAGTTTTTGCACTTAAGGAAGGTCTTCTTCAGTGCAAAATTCTTAATCCAGTTGATTGGATGAGGCTTTTTTCACGTTTTGGAAGACAATCTTTTAAGTCAATAGATTATAGCTGTTAAAGACTTATACAAAATAACTTGGACATACAGACCAGTATACGGTCAGACAGATGGGCATTATAACCTAGCCAAGCTGGTCTAACAGTTTGAATGGTCACAATGGGTGTGTATGTGCAGAATATAGGTGCTAAAGTAGACATGTAAATTAGAAAGTATAAGCTCAATGAGGCAAGAGAGGATGGCATTTAGTTAAGGAAGCCCAGTAACTTCATTTCAATGGGATTTAAAATTCAGTCATGAGCTCATAATTGGAATGAGATACTTAGGTCTGCATTTCAATAACTGCTGAAATCTGGATGAAAATGACATTTCTAGGTAGTAGAAAATGGGTTTAGAATGAAAACCTGAGATTTATGGACAGGAGAGCTCTCAGAGACAAAGGAGACTCTTGAAGGAGTACCTGAAACTCAACGAATCATTTGTTAATCTCCACAAACCAATCTAGTGCCCATTTCTCACATAGAAGTGGATGGCATCACTTGGACAAGACGGTAGTCATTTCTGGATTGTTTAAATGGTATTAGAATTTTATTGTAGATTATAGTAGAGTGACATACAAATTCTGTTCCATAATGTACGGCCATCCCAGTCTATCCAGTTGAGGACTGGAAACATTTGAATAAAAGTCTGCATTGAATGTGTTTGACATATACAGGCATTTGGATATTTGGTCCCTAATTGGTGGCACTATTGGGGTATGTTTAGGAGGCGTGGCCTTGCTGAAGGAAGGATGTCACTAGGGCAGGCTTTTGGGAGTATTAGACAGAGCCTTACTTGATTATTCCCAGTTTGCGCTCTCTGCCTGTGACCCAACATGTGAACTCCAGCTTGCTACTCCAGATGCCGTTTGCCACTTCCGACACTGTGATGGACTCTTATCTCTCTGGACTCCTAAGCCCTAATAGACTCTTTCTTCTTCTAAAGTTAGTTGCCTTGGTCATGGTGTTTCATCATAACATAGAAAAGTAACTGGTATACCCAGAAATAAGGTATATGAGAGAATGTTCATTGGTTATATGTAAATACCATTCCATTTTATATGAATGACGTCAGTATTTAGGATTTTGTATGCTAGAGAGTCTGAGTGGTGGCTCCTAGAAACAAATCTTCCTTGGTTACTGAGGGTTGAGTGTATATTTTTTTTTACCTAGCCTCTATTTTTAGATTCTGAACTCATGTATTAGAGCATTATATGGAATGAAAGATTCACTGTTTAAATTTATTATTTTTTATGTGTTCTTTGCACCTTGTGTGTGTACCTGCAGAGGTCAGAAGAGGACACCAGAAACCTGGAACTGGAGTTACAGATGATTGTGAGCCTACATTGTGTGGGTGCTGGGAATTGAACCTGGGTCCTCAGTAAGAACAAGTGCTTTTAACCAGAGTCGACTCTCCAAGCCAAGGAGTGAAAGGTTTTTTTTTTCTTGTAGAAGTGTTTTAATATCTTTAGAGAGTTCATTATGGCCCTGTTCCCTCTTTTCCTCCCTTCAGCCCCGTCCGGAAAGGTTTTGCTAGTGCTGCTGAACCCTGCCATCCTCCCCTTCTAGTTCTTTTTTTTTCTGCTCGAGACCACACACCCTGGAAGAGGGAGGGGATGTGGTATCCTTGATTTACTTTTTCTTTTTTGTGATGTTACAAAAGCTTGTCTTATTCTGTAGTGGATAATTGTATCTTTTTGTGTTCATGAGCTCTGTTTTCATGAGCTCTGTGTGTTTATAAGGTTCAAGGATTTTAACTTTGAATTTTGAGAACATTTGTTTATTAAGGAGATAGTAAGAATTAGAATGCTAAGCTTTAGATCCTAGAGTGTTTTAGTTGAAATTATTTGAAAGCTAAAAAAGAAAGTACTTTTAGCTTTTACTGTAGTGTGAGAATTAAAATTTTGAGAAAGTAAAATCATACTCTAAAAATACTTTAAAAAGGAGTCTAGAGCTAGGTATGGTGACATTTGCCTGTATGCCGCCAGCACTGGGAGATGGGGTTAGGGCAGGAGGAGGGTGGATTGAAGTCAACCAGCTTGAGCTACATACTGAGATCCTTTCTTTAAAAACAAATCTAGGCAGTCTTAAACACTGAAACAAATGACTTTCCCATGATGAAGGGAATAAGTGAAGAACTTCATTTCTTTCTTTCTTTTTTTTTAAGATTTATTTATTTATTTCATATACAGTGTTCTGCCTGCATGTGTCCCTTCAGGCCAGAAGAGGGCACCAGATCTCATTACAGATGGTTGTGAGCCACCATGTGGTTGCTGGGAATTGAACTCAGGACCTCTGGAAGAACAGCCAGTGTTCTTAACCGCTGAGCCATCTCTCCAGCCCCCAAAGGACTTCATTTCTTGTTTTTTGGTTTTTCGAGACAGGGTATCTCTGTGTAGCTTTGCGCCTTTCCTGGAACTCACTCTGTAGACCAGGCGAACTCACAGAGATTCGCCTGCCTCTGCCTGCCAGAGTGCTGGGATTAAAGGTGTATGCTACCACTGCCCTGCAAGATTTACTTTTTTACTGATGGCAAAGTGCCTTTACCTGCTAAAGCCATCTCACTAGCCACAATATTTACTATTTTAAAAGATAAGAGTCTCTGTAAAACGAAATGGCTATCTAATAAATGTAGCACGAATCTTAAATGGTCTTATAAGAACCCGGAGACAGGTATTGGGGTGAACGCTGGAAGATCAGAGAAGCAGAACAAGCCACAGTGACATCACCTTGCCAGTTCCTCAGCTGATCCTGTTTCCTCAGACTGCTAGCCTCTGAGTCCTGATCCAAATGGATCTCAGCTGAACTGCTTCTCAAAAGCCTGAAAGCTTAACCAGCTCTAGTTCCTGGTCCTCATGCCTTATATACTTTTCTGCTTCCTGCCATTACTTCCTGGGATTAAAGGCGTGAGTCACTATGCCTGGCTGTTTACAGTGTGGCTTTAAACTCACAGAGATCTGGATGGATCTCTGCCTCCCAAGTGATAGGATTAAAGGTGTGCGTGCCACCATTTTCTGGCCTCTATATCTAGTGGCTGTTCTGTTCTCTGACCCCAGATAAGTTTATTAGGGTGCACAATATTTGGGGGAACACAATATAACCACAAATAAAATCTGTGGGAAAATACAGGTGTAAAGTAAATGGAATGTCAGCAAATGTCTATAAGCATAGTAGTCCCACCCACCCTTTTTTTTTTAAAACAGAATCTTACTAAAAGGGATGAAACAGTGAAGCTAGAAATAGGCAGTCAGATTAAGTGTATTCCTAGAAAGAATTAATACAAATATTAATACAATATTAATATAGGGAAATTGTAATGGAAGTAAGCTGTGTGCCCTGTTGTGCTGCCAGCTTCCCCAGGGGAAGATGGAGAAATCTTTCTGGAGGATGTCCAGATTTTTAGTGGTATACCAGCAGGGAGAAGGCATAGTGTTTCTCTTCTGTTTTTGTTTGAAGCAGGGTTACTGGGGCTGGCCTTAAAATCTCTGTGCAGCTAAGGATGACACTGAGTTCCTGAGCCTCCTGTGTCTGCCTCCCTCCACCCCTGCAAAGTACTCGGGTTAGCTGGAAGTGTCTCTCTCCACTTCTTGTTTGTTTAGTTAGCATAAAACTACATTTATTTGTGAATTCTAGAAATCTGTATGATTTCATCAATCTCATGTGTATTTTCTTTTCCATCTAGATAAAATTTTATATTTAAATAATCCAGAAAAGGAAGCGCAAGCAGATCGAGATGTGTAGCTCCGTGGCTGCCAAGCTGTGGTTTTTGACAGATCGACGAATCAGAGAAGACTATCCGCAAAAAGAGATCTTACGAGCTCTGAAGGCCAAATGTTGTGAGGAAGAATTGGACTTTAGGGCTGTAGTGATGGACGAGGTGGTGCTGACAGTTGAGCAAGGAAATCTGGGTAAGACTATACAAGTGCTCTTTCAGATTTTGTTTAGAATGCTGTGAGTTGAAACTCTGGAATAATGAGAAGAAGTGAAGTCATAACAGCCTTATCATAAGGGCCATCACTCACAGGTAGTCTGTTTACAGAGACAAGAGCACTAGTATTTCCTAAATTATAGTATGTATGGAAGAGTGGAAAGGAAACTAGAATAAAAACTTTCTAGATTTATGAATATTTAGCTATCTGCCAGGCATAGTGGCGCATGCTTTTAATTCCTGTCTCTCTCTTTTTCTCCTCGAGACAAGGTTTCTCTGTGTAGCCCTTGTTGTCTTGGCTCTATATATAGACCAGGCTTGCCTCGAACTCAGATCCACGTCTTCCTCTGCCTCCCCCAATGCTGGGATTAAAGGAGTGTGCCACCACTGTCTAGCTGAGAAACCCTGTCTTAAAAAAGATAAAATAAATAATTTTTTTAACTTATCTACAAAATTTAAATTCCTTTTACTTATCTACAAAATTTAAAGTACTTGTAAGGAAATTTGTAATTCACTAATGGGAATTCTGTTGATTAATTAGTTTCCATGTGATTCTTATTTTCATTTTCCTTTAGATAATATCTGCAGCATTAATTGAAATAACTTATTACTTTAAAAATACCAGTAGTGTTGTCTGCACACCTTTAATCCCAGCACTTGGGAGGCAGAGGCAGGTGGATCTCTGAGTTCAAGGCCAGCGTGGTTCTACAAAGAGAGTTCTAGGATGACCAGAGCTGTTAGAGAAACCCTGTCTTAAAAAAAATAATACAAAACAACAACAACAAAAAGGATTTGACTCAGCTGGTGATACATGTATTTCTAGTGTTTCACATGTGTTCAGAAAATAGCCTGGGCATGGTGGCTCATTAGAGTTGAGGCCAGAGTTCAAGGACAGTATGAGCTACAAACAAAAATATCCCTACAAACAAAAATAAATATAATAAATAAATAAATAAATGAACCAGTTGGTAGCCTTTGGTTTTCTAACCTTTAAAAATGTCTGTTAAGTAACCAAAATTTGGGGGGTAGACTTGGGCATCACTCTGATGGTTAGTGTTGTCAGCTTCACAGGATCTAGAATTTTTTCGAGGAGATGCGCTTCAGTGCATTCCTGTGAGGTGTCTTCTTAACTAGGTTAGTTCATCTGGCAAAGCCCACACTAACCGTGAGCAGGCCATTCCTTGGGCAGGGATCCTTCATTAATGGTCCTCTTATGGATCCAGATATTTTTAGATTATTTTATTTTATGTGCATGGGTGTTTTGTCTATATATATATATATATATATATATATATATATATATATATATATATATATATGTGTGTGTACCATGTGCATGCCTGGTGCCTGCGGAGGTCAGAAGAGTGCATTGGATTCCATGTTGGTGCTGGAAATTGAACCCTGGTCCTCTGCAAGAGCAACAAGTGTCCTTCACTGCTGAGCCACCTCTCCAGCCTTTTATACTATATTAAATGCCATCCTCTTGTAGCGAGGTAAAGAAACAGCTTTCACAGAACTCTCTTTCTCTCTCTTTTTTTTTTTTAATTAAAAATAATGTTCTTCAGGATTTTCTCCTTTGGAACATTTTCCTCATTATATGCCTAATTGCAAAGCAACAAGACCAAAAACTATAATGTAACCCTAAACTGGAGTTGGTTGGCTCAACTGGCCTGTGGGTTTCTGTCCTTGGGCTGCCGGTTTTATATTTTCCCTGCTTATCTCTTAGTTTTACTGACTGTGGTTTGGACTTCAGGCTCCCTGATTCATTTCAAAGCCACCCTGTTTGATAGCAAGTCTCCTTGTTTTCAAAATTGGCATACTTGGGTCAAACTCTTGTGTCAGCTGACCTGTAAGTAGAAAGGGGAATGAAAACAACCTTCATCAAACAAGTGGTTGCTTATAATGTGGGATATTGTAGACCAGGCCACCTCATTTCTGCTTGCTTATAATGTGGAGTGTTGTAGACCAGACTGCCCTGAAACATCTGACCCCCTACTTCACCCCTCAGTGCTGAGATTAGTGGCATGGGATACCTCTTGTGGCCCTCCTAGATGTAATTTATATGGTATTAATATTTTTATGAGTTTTCTGCTCTGAAATGGCACCTGACATTAATTTGAGGAAAAGTCATAGTTATTATTTAAAATACTGTTTATTTTTTAGTTACATGTAATTTATGCTACATATGAATTACACTTCTTGTTGCCATCCTGTAGTTTTTAGATAATCTTTCTTTAAAAAAAAAAAAGAAAAGAAAATTACTTTTTATTTTTGGATGATTGCCATGATTATCAAGTTCTGAGATTAATTTCTCTGCTAAGTCCAGTGTAGTGAAGTTTCTATCAAAGACTTTTTTAAATTAGTGTTTTCCATATGTACAACTTTTTGTTTGTTTCTGCCTGTTCCTGCATGCTTTCTGCTTTTTCCATAGAAAGTCTTAAACTGGGGCTGGATTGATGGCTCAGTAGTTAAGAGCTCTTCCAGAGGAGTTGAGTTCAATTCCCAGCACCCACATGGCAGCTCACAACTGTCTGTAACCCCAGTTCCAGGGGATCTGACACCTTCACACCAATGCACATAAAATAAAGTTAAATTATTTAAAAAGAAAGGAAGTCTTATACTGTCAGTCATAGTGCTTTGACTCTAGCCTAGGCTGACTTGGAACTCTGTGTAGCTCAAATTGGCCTAAAAGTTGTGGGGATTCTCCTGTCTTAGCCTCCTGTGTGCTGGGGTCACAGGTGTGAGCTACTGTGCCCAGCTTCCTAGTGTTTTAAAATCTGACACTCTGTGGCACCTGACTGGTTCTGATGCTTGTTTGCTTTCTTCAGACTATTTTTTTATCCTTCTCTTGGTGTACTAAAAACTCCAGCCAAGATCCTCAACTTTAGGGAGAAGTGGGCTTATTTTTAGCCTGCTGTTCAGTACAGCTTTGGAGGCAAGTCAAGGCAGGAACTTGAAATTGCTAGTGGTATTCACAGTCACAGGTAGAGTGAATGAATGGATGCTGAAGTTGTCCTTTGTTCTGAGAGTGAATCCACCTGGCAGTTCCATCACACTAGGAAGCAGGAAGCAGGGAGAAGGGACCTGGTGACCCCTCCCTTTCCTTCTAAGAGGTCATGTACAACAGCAAGAAGCGCTGCCTCCTTGGACCTATAGCCCAAAGCCATGGGCGGAGCAAATGCCACTGCACTGTCCCTTATTGAGACTCTTACCAGGTGATTCTAGGTTATTAGCATTTGTCTGAAGGCGAAAATTATGTAGAAATTCATCTTCAGATTTTATGATTGCCATCTCATTCTTTAGTGGTGAGCTTCTAATCCCCTTTCATGCCAGGGAGAAGTTAAAAAGTGGAGGTATGGGTTATGAGCAGACGGTACCCAGTGTGAGCACCTGAAAGGGCAGTGTGAACGCTTTAGTTTAGAAAATGTTACTTTGTGTTCTTACTTTTTTGCTGTCAGCCATATTTTTATATTTATACTAATACAAATCATAGTTGAGGCACATGACCTGTTCCTGTTTTTGTTTGTGATTTCTGGCTCTAACTTGTACCCACAGTATCTTTTTTATAGAATGAAAAGTTGTTCAGGAAAGGATTAATCATGACATTTCTTAAACCATTTTAAGAAGGAAGTGAGAATAAAATCTCTAGTGTAATTTTAAGTGATGGAAGACATTTATGTTAAACAATATGCAAAAATCTTGATTTTTTTTTTTTAAAAGGTATGAATTTTATATATACTTAGATGACCATCGAGAAAAGTAATAGTACCCAGGGTGGTGGGTGGAAGGTAAAATGTATCTTGACGTTTTATATTTGAGTGTTTTAAGCAACATGTATTATTTTAAAATCAAAAGTTTTAAAATCAAAAATTTTAAGGAGTAATTCATATAAAAATCTTTCCTGTATTGCTTATTGCCTTCTTAAATTCAATTTAAAAATTCATCATAGAAGCAGATGAACTCAAAAACCCACACAAAACACAAAGTAGGAAGAAAATTGCATGGAGTACAGTGTTGAAATTTCCTATTCTACCTTATTTTTACTTTGTTGCCAGTCACTATCGAAGTCAGCCCAGTCATTTACTCTTTCAGAAATTTTGTATTTATATATGTGCAAATAAACTTATTCTCAAATGTCCCCTTAATAGTTCATTATATGTTTGCTTTTTCATTTCTGAATGTAAATATATTATGCCATCTCTTTAAATGGTAGTGTATATTATACTGGTGTGTATAATTTAGTTAATAAGTCAGTTGAGATTTTTGCTTTTCTTAGAGAAGAATGTCTCTATTCTGGTCTAGTATTAACAACACAATGCATTTGATTTTGAGATATAAACTTTGGTATTTTATTTTAATTTATTTATTTTGGTTTTTTGAGACAATGTTTCTGTCACCTGACTATCCTGGAACTCACTCTGTAGACTAGGCTAGTCTGAAACTCACAGATTGGCCTCTCCCTCCCAAGTGCCGGGATTAAAGGTGTGCATCACCACCGCCTGGCTTGCTTTGGTATTGTATTGTTCCTTTATATTATTATTACTTTTTTTACATTTAAAAATATTATTTAGATTTGAGATTATAATATAATCACATTATTCCTTTTTCTCTTTCCTCCCTCCAAACCCTCATATCCTTGATCTCTCAAATTCATGTCCTCTTTTCATTAAGTATTGGTACATGAATGTGTGTGTATGTGTGTGTGTGTGTGTATACATACATATTCCTAAATACATAAAATACAACCTGCTCAGTCTATGTAATGCTAACTTGTATGTTTCCTTAGTACTGACCATTGGTATTGGGAAACTAGTGTGCTCTTTCTTGGGAAAGACTATTTTTCCGGCTCTCAGCATTCCTTAGTTGCCTGTAGTTCTTTGTTTAGGGTTGAGGCCTCTTGGGCTTTCTCCTGTCCACATTAGCATGTCTATTGCTATTGCCCTTATTCAGCTCATGTTTAAACAGTCATGTTGATGAAACTTAATGGGTGTAGTTTCTGACATTACTAGGAGACACAGTCTTACAGCAAACTCCTTGATCCTTTGACTCTTAAAATCTCATGGTCCCTTCACTTACAGTGATCCCTGAGTCTTAAATTAAGTGCTGCAGAGTTGTTTGTAGATATGTCCATTGTGATTGAGCGCCATAACTCTTTAATTTGATTGGTTGTGGTTTTCTATAATGGTCTGTCTGTTGCAAAGAGAAGTTCCCTGATGAAGGGTAAAGACTACACTTATCTGTGGGTGTAGAGACAAGGATTTATAGTATAGACTGTAGGTTGTCCTGCAAGACCCATGAGTTCACTAGCCCTGGGTAGTTGGCTAGGTTTCTGATACTAGCAATGACTTCCCCTTTGTTGAGTGGACCTTAAGTTTAGCTAGAGAGCTGTCAGTTACCACCAAATTATACATGACACTACTGCACTCTTAGCATTATTGTGCTATGCTAGTCATTGTTGTTCATAGGTGTCATATCTGGGTAGAACTGTTTTGCTTCTCTCCTTTGGAAGCTTGCACGACACCTTCTGGTATCATGGAAGTTGGTCCTCAGGGAGGAAGCTTTCAGGTCTGTTCCAGTTCAGGAGCCTCTTGACCCTGTCTTGGTGTCTTCAGCAATAGGGAATTACTTGTACTTCTAGGAAGCAACCAACAGCAGTAGCAATAGCCTATAGTGATTTTGGGTCTCTTGGACAACCCTGGCCGACAAATCAGAAGAGGGCTTCTCATGTCTGGCGTTGGGCTTTTTGTTAGGTGGTCTTTGCCTCTAGGAGGGAGCATTGTCAGCCCAGATAAGAAAATTTTATTTAAACTATATATGTATATTTATACCTAAACACATGAATCCTATAGGCTTTTCTTGATCACTAATAGTATGATTCCTTATGGCGTTTTCAGACACCCTTAACCATTATTCCCCTCCCCTCTCTTTCTACTGTGACTGTCTTCCTTCTTCCCTAATTAGAGCCCCATCTTGTTTTTCCCATGCCCCTGATGCAGTTGTCTGTACTCTGCTATTCCCCACTTTATTGCTCCCTACCCCACCCTCCACTCTGGCAGTGAACCCTTTTTTACTTTCCTGGTTTCTTGTGGTTACTCTGGAAAATGTAGTCACATTTGGATTTGGAGCTGGAAGATTTGGAGCTGGAAGGCTCAGCTAAGAGAGAAGATGCAATTTTTTCTCAATATGATCTTAGTTTCATTATTTTCCCACAAAGTTCATTATTTCATTTTTGTTTTTTACTGCAGAAAAGCATTCCACAGTGTACATATACCACATTTTCATTAACTATTTGTTGGTTGAAGGACATTCAGGTTATTTCCATTTTCTAACTATTGTTTTGTTATTTTCCTAATTGGTAGGGACAGTGAACATCTTTGTTGTTGTTTCGTGGTTCCATAAGAGTTTTTGGATAGTTTTTTCTATTTTTGTGAAGAATGAGATGGGGATTTTGGTTGGAATTACATTGAATCTAACTTTTTCTAAATTATAAATAAATTACATAAAAGAACTTACAAAGAAAAACTAGGACCTCATTCTCTAGTCCTGGCCTTGAACTCCTAGAGATTCTTCTGCCTCAGTCTCATAAGTGATAGAATTGCTGGATTGAGCCACCATGTCCTTCCTCTTTTGTGTTGCATACTCCTTCCAGTGGTTTTAACTT